GAATTAAAAAAAAGAAAAAAAAAAGAAAAGAATGAAAACTACAAACTTATTATATAGTAATTCTTGCGGTAACACCAGGTAGATAGTTCTGGAAAGAACTTCTGTTAGTTAAAAATATCTCGACGTTTCGATTGAGTTGCTTCAATCGTCTTCATGAGAAAAATATCTCCAGAAAATTCCAAACAGCGAAATGGTTGTATGTTTGGGTAATGAGGCTTGCTTCTGAATAGTGGAAAACTATTGTAAACAATAGCTGAGACTGCGTGGGAAAAGGCTAATACAAAAGCCAGTATTCACAGTCTGTGCATAAGAGTAGTGAGTGGCTAGAAAGCCAAGACAGTAGAATGGTTTCTAGCCAAGTGAAAGGAAAGCCAAAACAATGGCATCTTTCCAATGTGGCGGGAAATGTGCTGTTTTGGTTAAGGTCCAATATAAAATACAAAAAAAAATAATCTAAACTACGACGATATGCCTACAAATCAGATCATCCTCACGTGGGAAAACAGAGATACTGTATAAAATTATTCAACACTGACCGAATCACCGACAACATAGGCTGAAGCAACCGAATGTCATTGACTAACACGTGCAGACTGCTATTGAAAAAGGCTCAAAGGTACAAAACTGAACAAATCAGGCGAAGTACCTGGGGTAATATATCTTTTCAATAAAATCAGTATAATAAATACAACTGATAATTTAATAAATAAATATAGAATGATTGGATAACAACTGAGAAACGAGTAATTTGAATGTGTAAAGCTGCATTTACATGGGGTCCGAACCGAAATTCAGACCGCATTTCCGAAGCTCTGAAACACCAATGTCTTTATTCTTACGGCACTCTGATTTGATTTTGTGATTCGCTTCTGTAGGATTTCCATTCGGATTTGGTGTGAATTCCCCTTAAAACACAATATAAATAAGGGAAACACAATGGTCATGTACCTATTATAAAGGCAAATAAAAATGTAAAACAAAAATAAAAGTCTTAAACTTAAAAACCCCTAAAACAATGTCTGCGGCTTTGAAATATATAATATAAAAGCTGGTGATGATTGTATTAACTATCTGACACGGTAACTGATTCTCGCAAGTGATTCTGGAGGGTATCTAACCCCGGACCGCTAGATAACTAGCCTGATGTAACCACTAGATTATCGTGATTTTCGCTCAGTGACTGGTGTTGATTCCGATCCATAAGCATCAATGGGTAACAGTACGATAACTAACGGTGTTGGAAGCGGCGGGCCAGGAGGGCCATTTGGGAACTCTACTTTTTCTATTGGGGAAACCTCCCCCCCCCCCCCCCCAATTTTGTGACTGCTTCCAGCACCAGTGAAAAACATTAACGAATGCTATACAATATCATTATTATTTTTAATATTTTAGTGATTTTTTAAAATAGTTTAGAGACCTTGTTTATCTTCGCCTTATAAATCGACCTATTATTATTATTATTATTATTATTATTATTATATAATATAGATGTTTTTTTAAACAGTTGCGAAGTATAACAGGCAAGTACCCTTACCCTCCTAAATTTGTCAAAATAATTTAAAACATATGGGTTGCGACCCAATATTTGGGTCGCGAAAATTTTTGTGGGTCGCATAACCTCTTTAGATCGTAAAAACTTTATTTAATTCGAACAGGATAAATGAAATCAAATTACAGTAAACGAAAGTGCAATTTAAAGTGTGACAAAGTACGTGGGTCAGTTTAATTCACATGCGTTATCAAAGTTTTATGTTTAAAAATATACTATCGATACATTTTTACTTCAAATACGACAACTTGAAAGTGTCAGTTTCGTTCATTTCAATGTGTTTGGCTTTCAGCTGAAAATCATGAAGAAAACATTTTTATCTTCAATTTAATGTGTCTGTGTCTTTGCATAACCCATAAATCACCGTTTCGCAATCTATGAGTAGCGGAAAATAGATAGGTCACGTAATCTCTTTAGGTCGTGAAATAAAATACTTATTACGAATGTTTGCGGAACGGAGATTTAAAAATTTGGAGAAAACAGAAACTTTCTTTCAAATTGAAATCTGAGAGTGCCATTTCCAGCCATCTAGAGGTACCATAATCATATTTTTTCCCAACCACGATGGGGCTGAGGAGGGTGGCCAACTTGTATGTGTAAGTCCCTCCCTGGGCCCCCTATATTTTGACTTCCTGGATCCACCACTGTTAAAAGTACTATTTCCCGGCTCTTTGAAGGGTAATATTTATCCGTCGGGGGAAAAGAAAAGGTTGTGGAATACCATATTAATGATAACCCTCACATGATGAATAAGCTATACCTTCTTTTTGAACCGGCCAGAAATAATCAATGCGGAATACTTTGCGACTTGCTTTTAATATCAGGAAGTTCTATCTACTACAGAACTAATGTATTTCATAACCTGTGGATTGTCACAGCGTTTATAAAGACTTGTCAAGGCATTCAAGGCATCAACGGTTATACCTTTATCGCCAAGGAGAGAATTAAAAACCTCCAATACCAAAGTTTCAGCCATCCTTAAAATGCTGCATTGTATGGAAAAATAGCCTAGCAATCAACAGAGTCATTTCAAAATAACATTATGATACTGTATAGTATTTAAACGACATTAGGCACATTTAGGAAATATAGTCACGTTGAATACAATTACATTATTTTTATAAAAATAAGCCAGCAGTGTCGAAATTTGCGAAGTTTTGTAATATGGCGAACACGGTAGTGTTGACGTAGGTAGTGAAAAAGAAGCTATTGTATACTTAAACAATCCTGAACTATGGTAGTATAACAACAACATAATTGCACGGTAGTAAATTAGGAAAAAATGCATATGTCTTGTAAATGATAGGCACTAGGTAGTGTTGCCATAAAATAATTTCTACAATTGTATACATTTTGGAAAGTGACCTACACAATAGGTCATTTGAGACTATTTGGTAACAGTCATTGGCGGATCTAGGTGTCCTCACCCCCTCCCCCTCTTGAGCTGCCAAGCAAAAGAAAATTCTTCATCTAACTTTCCAGGACCTGAGCGGAAATTGTGTTTCTTATTATTATTATTATTATTATTATTATTATTATTATTATTATTATTATTATTATTATTATTATTATTATTATTATTTAGCGTCAATATATACAAAAAAATACAGACTTGAACTACCATTTACTGTACACGAAATCACAGCGTGTTCTAAAAAGACGATAGGAAAAAGGCTTGCCAGATAGGCGCAATACTTGTGAAAAGTTTTCCGTGCGTTCGCAATCTCTGCAGTGGATGTACCAAAGGTAGGCTTAGCACAGGTCTTAGCACTCAGTAGCTAATACGTATGCAACTATTTTATTTCTTTTTCTGTATGTAATACACACATAATAAGCCTAGGCCTATTTACTGTAATAAGAATGAGAAAATTTACCTGACCATTTTCAAGAGGGGGAAAATTTTGAAGACCTTAAAAGTTATTAAAAGACACCTCAGAAGTCAGGAAAGCTCATTTCCTGCCATCTAGGAATCACAATTTTCTCGGGGGAGGACCCCGACCCCCCTTTCGTTTTCGGGATTTCGAAACATTCTGACATCCCCCCCCCCCTCTTAAAATTGAACCCACATCCACCCCTGGACAGTTCAAGTTGTTTTGATTAAATGGAGTTCTGAAAACTTTATTGCACACATAAATTTAAATAGCCGTATGTGTAAAAGAGGTTGTATTTACTTCGAGTACTAACTATTATTTTGTAGTAACTGAAGCATTGACAGGACACTTTAACAAATTTTCGTTGACTAATGAACAAGGGGTATTCATAGCACATTGTAAAACAATTTATTATTATTTTTTTTTAGTTTAACTGTAAATAATTTAATATGATGCTAATGATTGTGTATAAAAAATTACCCGTGATGTTTAGCGATTAAAACACAATGAACGCAAGCAAAGAATATGGCCAAGGCGGTAGCGGTGAAGTAATTTGACAAATACAGCTGTACCCTGAAACACTAGTAGACTGTGTGTTGTGTAATTATTTAATTAGTTTTAAAAAGTGAATTAAGTGCCGTTTCCTGAAAACCATAAAATAATATCAGAAACAAAAGATTTATACATGCTGGTGATAAATATTGCTCTTAAGAACACAACGAGAAAAGAAAGAAATGTCAAGGTCTGTGGTGTACACAGGCGACGCAACAATTATAGTCCTCGACGGTTTTGTTTTATATGTGTTCACTACGGCGCATATAATATTTATTTATTTATTTAAGGCACATCCAACAGTGTATACACCAATTACAGGATGAAAATATAAAATATAAAATATAAAATCTTACACAATATCAATGGAAAACCTAAAGTTATTTTACAGACTCAAATGTGTTATTGACGAAAACACTTATTTAATCATGGTTGTTTGTACCCAAGTTCATGTAAAAATTGTAGAAATATGTTATGATACTTATAAAGCAATAATAATAATAATAATAATAATAATAACATTAATCTTACTGTAGAATGTTTACCTGTTGCTCTTCACACGCAACCTGCCATGGAGTCACATGATACTCAGTTTCGTGTATTTCTTTGGGTAGAAACCCATGTACAACCCCCAGGGCATTATTTGTCTCATTTTTTACCAGGAATACGCGCAATTGGTTACACTGTTAATTCTGAGGAGTTATTGTAACTCCCCCTGTGGGGTAGTTATAACCCACAAAGGGGGAGTTATTTTTTGGGAGTTATTTTAACTCCTTAAATGGTATTAAAGTAACTCCTTAGGGGAGTCACATCTAGATGTGTATAAGAGACAGGTTATAATGTTGGAGTAATTTTTACTCCAGTATTTGGGTTGCTGGAGTTAAATTAACTTCATGTTTAGAGTAAAACAAGCAGAGTTAAAATAACCCATCCACAGAGAGTCAAATTGATCCTATCTCATGAAGTATAGCAGAGTTAAAATAACCCATCTATCAGAGAGTCCAATTGATCCTATCGCAATGCATAATGGGATCAGCCCGCGTTATTCGAGAAAAAAGTTTAGTGTCGCCATTTTCTGTTTCTCGATGTTGAACGAAAATGAAAAGTTTAATTGATTTTTTCGTCTTTTTATTGGAATGTGTTTGAAGGTATGTACACAATAACATATTATTCTTCTGAATATTCACGTTAAATTATTTTACTCTGATTTATGCAACATTCTGTGTAGAAAAAGGGGCCTGGCCTAGGTAGGCCCTATGCCAGACTGTTGTAGTATTGTAGTAGTATAGTCTAGTAGTAGTGGCCTGCGCGGAGAATTGCCTATATCCGACGTGCAAAAATGTGGCATAGGGCCTAGGCCTAGAAGAAATCCGTCGGCGCATTTCGAAAAATAAGTTCCACGCAGATTTTGCCAAAAATTAGGCTTTTGACCAAACCTAGGCCCTATAGCCTTGGCCTAATAATATAATTAATACAGATAGGCCTAGTAGGCCTAGGCCTAACCAATGAGCCTAATAAAATGATGCAACTGTTATTAAGTAGGCCTAGGCATGTCTCTTATACACATCT